GCCGCGGCGGGGCGGAGCGCGCGCGCTCGCCTCTGACCGACCCGCGAGTGGCGAGCGGCGCCATCTAGTGGCCCCCGCGCGCAGCTCGGCCCCGCCGGCCCCGCCCCACCACGACTCGCCGCGGCCGCGCGCCCTCCCCTCTCTCCCCTGTCTCTTTTCCCATCTCTCTCTCGCTCGCCGTTCGCAATTTTATTGATAGCAAGTGGGATGCTATATCGGCGTCCCTCTCTCTCGACCAGCCGGTGTGATTACCGTGCAGACGAACGTGCGATAAGCAGCCGGCATCATTGCGACTGCACAACCTGCTGCAGGCAGAGCTACGGACCTGCCTACTTATGGACGAGCTTGTTTCCTTGCCATTTATTTATTTATTTTTCCCTGGCAAATCCACCGCGCTACGCCACGCCTCGCCCTGGCGGCCGGACCACCCCTCCAGGCGCGCACGCGCCGCCACTGCACCCCCGCCCCGCAGCCGCCCCTTATCTCGCAGCTCTCAGCGGTCGCGACTTGACACAGTGAACGATGGTCTGTGTGTGTGTGTGTGTGTGTGTGTGTGTGCGATTTTTATCTTTCCGTTCCATTTTTCCTGGTCTCTTTATTTACTTTAGGGGGATGGCGAGGACGTGCCCGGGGTGCGCTGCCCGCTCCCGTCGCCAGTTTGTGTTGATGTGCGTGTGTGAGAGAGAGAGAAAGAAAGGGCGACGGAGAGGGAACGGTGGGGGTTGGAGAGGGTAGCGCGAGTGAGAGGCGGTGAAGGGTCGGCCGCTGTGTGTCCTCGCGGCTCCGGTCGCGCACGCGAGTCACTTGCGCCGCGTCCTCTCCCTTCCCGCCGCTGCTGCTGGTCCCGCCGCCTGCTCTTCCTTCTCCCCTTCTAACATATTTCATGCTGCTGTTGCTGCTGGCCGGGCCGGCCTGCCTGCGCCTCTGATTGGAAACGAACGGAACCTTTTAATTGGTTTGATCGCCGCCGAGCTGCGGCCGTGCTGCGGCACACCGGGCCGAGACGACCTTCCCGCCGCGGCAACGGCCTCCCCCCCCCCCCTCTCCCCGCGTTCTCCCTTGGAATGGCTCATGATTTGGTCACGATGGTGTGGGGCAGGACGGGGCGGGGGACCTGGACCACGAGAGCGTGCGCCTCCTGTCGAATGACGCTGCTGGCGTCCGTCCGTCAAAAAAGCTTCAAATTTAACTAGAGTCTGTTCCCTCATCACCACAACTTGTACATATTACGTTCGTCGCGTCCTCCTCGGATGGTGTTTTGGTCTCAATTTTCGGTGTTATTCTAATGATTTGGTCGTCAACATTGTAAACGAGAACCGGAAGCAGTTTGAAATTTGGCGTGGGTGGGGCGCGTTGTGGCGATATTTACCTCGACACTCCCACCCGTTCCCATGCTGAGATGAGTCAGAGCTTATTAATACCGACGGCAGAGGGGGAGGGGACCTACCGGGTGAAGGCTATCGATACTGTTTAATTCGGTTCACATCGTCGTCTGATTAAAAACGCTGAGAGGGAGAGGAAAAAAAAAGCTTAAGCAGGATGAGGAAGGAGGATGAAGCGAGGATGAGGAGGAAGGAGGGGATTTTGGTACGTAAAGTAGAAACTCGTGAAGTGGGCTTGTACTTTGCGCCTTTAATAAGCACGCTTGTGCTAATTAGAAAAGTAATGGCGCGTGGAGCAAAATCGGGGTAAGTGACTTGGCACGGCCATTTTGCCTCGGAACAGGCCAGCTTGCGGCCGTAGCCGAGCTGACGCGCGAAAAACCTGTTCAAAGGGAACTCGTCCTTGCAATTGGCCGGGTTTGAACAAGGTGGGAACAGAGTCGCCTCGCTATATCGCGTTGGCATGTGTGTTTTGTTCTGATGGAGTCAACGCGTGTGTTCAAGTCAGCTGACAGATGAGTCATCTCTCTGGGAAAGCTCGCTGGCCAGTCCAACCGGAGCCCTGCTGGGGGCGGGGACATTCACACACACACACACACACACACACACACACGGCAGCATCTGGTCTGGGCGGGCCAATGTCGTATATAAAGTAGTGAAGGCGATTACGCTTTTAAATACAGGCGCTCTCTCTCTCTTCTCCGAGGGAGTCGTGCACTCCGGCGTGACCTAACGCGTATGGCTGACACCTCCAATCACGGGCCGATTATTACACAGGAAGTGGTTAGGCCCTCGGAGCCCAACTACTCATCACCTGTTGTGAGGGTCCCAGCCCCGGGGCGGGCTCTGGCCATGTGGTGGGTGAGTAATGCCCCGGATATTGACGGGCGCGCACTTACTTTGCACCCGTGGGTTCAAAACTGTGAATACCCGACTTTGGAGGTCCCCCTTCTATTTTTTTTTATCAAGTTTGCCGGACTTTGTGGAGTTGTGATCAGGTGTGATTGCAAAGTTGTCTTCCTCAGGTGTGATATTTGTCTTTTTCCCGTGCTGTCCCAACAGTCGCTGCAGTCGGCCGCGCGCCGGGCGGGCACCTCCTGCGCCAACTGCAAGACCACCACCACCACGCTGTGGCGCCGCAACCAGAACGGCGAGCCCGTGTGCAACGCGTGCGGACTCTACTACAAGCTGCATAACGTGAGTATTTTTTGTTTTGTGTTTACTCTTGTTCCCATTCTCTCTACCGTTTTGTCGTCCCCGCTCGAGGGGCTGCTGCTGCCGAGTCGTTTCGCGCTCCGGCGGGGTCAAAGCCCCGCTCTCGGACGGCGTACGGGACGAGCCCGGGGGATTTGGAAAGTGACTCGGGGGCCTGCGCTCCCCGTCCCATTCCGGCGCGCCGGAGGGTTGGCGATGAAGTGGAAGACGCGCTCCTCCAGGAGCAGCTGACCGAGGCCCGGCCGGCCAGCGCCCTGCCTGCGGCTAATCCCAAAGTGATTGCTCACACTTGATTGGAGACGCTCTGGTCCGCGGCGCGCCGGCCGCGCTCCCCCTCGGGTGGCACCAAAACAAATGATTGTCACGGGTCGGCGGACCGATCGAGGCGCGGCGCAGAGCGGGAGGACGTCCGCCGGCCCGGATGTCTCCGCTGAATCCATTGGCCGATTTGCTGGACCGGATTTCTTCGAGTGCAGCCAGCAGCAGCTTCTACGCGCTGTTTTTTATTGTTTACCCTCCCCGTCGACTGTAGGCTTTTTACTCTTCGATTAGATCCGTTTCTTTTTCGCGCGCTTTCGCATGATCACGCGCGCGCAAATGCCCCTCTGTTTTTACGAGACCTGGAAATTTGCTTTCTCTGCCGCTTTTCTAAGGGTTTCGCGCTCTTGCCCGCGCGCGCAAGAGAGAGAGAGAGGCTGTTCCTCAACCCTTCCACCGCCCCTCCTCTGTCCTTGTCCCTCGGCGCCCGCGTCTTTCTCCGTCTCTCTCGCTCCCGCACGCGCGATGCTTATCTTTACGAGCCGCCCTTCGGATCATGAGAAAGCCGCGCGCAAGAGTGGCGTGAATAACCGTTGTTCGGAATGCTGCGCGCCGGGGCTGCGCCGGGGCTGCGCCGGGGCTGCGCTGGCCAGGCCCTCCTGCGCTCTCCTTGCCATCCCTCCGCGTTTAGTGACTCTACTTCCTCGGCGACACCCTCCGGCCTGCTCCCTCTCTCCCTCTATCTGCCTCACCTAGCCGTCCGTGCGTGACGCGGGCCCCGGGCGCGCGGCCGCTCCGCCGGTGCGTCGCGAAGATAACGCGCCGAAAGTCCTCGCAGAACGGGACCCGCGCCGCGCGCCGCCGGGAGTGGAGCAGCGCGGAGGTTTGATTGCCCCCGGATGCCTCAGATTTAGAACTCTGCTGCCGCGCGTCCAGCTCGGCTCAGCTCAGCTGTGTCGACGACGACGACGATGACGACGACGACGACGGCGAAGATGTTGATCATAATCGCCGCGCGCCGCAAGAGACCGCTCGAAAAACGAAAAGCGTGAAAAAATAACTCCGACTCTCCCTTCCTCCCTCCCTTGTACACCTGTTGAGATGGGCTATCGCCCGGGCGAGGGAAGCGGAGTTCTGACGAGGAGTGCCCGAGAGCAGGCGGGGTGGGCCTCGGGGAGGGACCGGACCAGCGACACACGTGCAGTGTCCTTCCCTCGGTGCATCGGACGTGTCGTGGACGTGTCGCCCGTCACTGTCCATTGCGTCCCGTTAGCGGGCCGGCCGAGGCCGTTTGGGCGACGTGCGGCGCGTGGAGGGCACGGCCGAGGCCAGCAGCGCGCCGCCTACGTGCCGGGCGGGTGGTGGTGGGTGGGGTCAGCCGGGGTCACCCGAAGAGTCACCTCATCCCTGACAGTTTGAAACGCTCCCCACGCACCGGCCGCCCTCCCAGTCAGCTGAGCAAGTTCAACGAGGAGCGCTCTGCTCAAAGGGCGCGGCTCGGGCGCGCGCGAGACAGTCGCCGGCGCCAGCGCGGCTTGTGAGCCGGCTGGGCCGAGCTCAGCCGCCCCCCAAATCCCATAATGCTCTCGGTGCAGTTGGGCCGCGCGCTTCCGCCTGGGTTGGCGGGCCCGGCCGGGGCAGGCGCCATGGGAACACTGCTGTTCTCTGCAGCTCTGCTACTTACAAACCAAAACCTTCTCTCCTCTCCTTGGCCCGCTGGTCCCGGGGTCCCCCCGGTCGGTCCCCCCGCGCTAATCTTGATGGACCCTATTGAGCATGCAGGGCGGTGCCGCCGCCTCCTCGGCATATTATAGCAAAACGCCTTTGTCGCAATGGCGATGCACAAAGCCGCTACCCTGTGTGTCACAAAAACGCGTACCGAAGGAGGGGACCTGGGGATCACATCGCGACCCACTCGACGAGCACAAAAGGACCGCGGCCGTTTAAAAGTGCGGCACAAAGTATCGATTACCGAAGCAATGATACAGTTTATTTTGATTGAGGCCGCCCCGCCCAGCCCCGCCCCGCCCCGTCAGAGCAGCGGATGGTGCTGCAAGCACGGAGGGAGCGGAGGACTTCCGTCTCTCTGCACTGGCGCGACACTGTCGGCTCTCGCCCCACCCTCCCCTCTAGCCGGACGGAAAGGCGAATGTGTCCACCCATTGCATTTTCGGGGGGTTTGAAGGAGGCGGGGATGTGGTCGTGATCATAGCCCCGCAGGGATTTGCCACAAACGTATGTATGCGTGTGTTGTTGTGAATGCAGTTTCCCTCTTCCTGTCAACGGCTCCGGCTGCTGTGTGCGTGTCGGTCCGTCAGTCCCGGGTGCAGCGTATCACGGGAGCGCTCCTGTCAGGGGCGGAGCGGGTATCACGCGTCCGGCCCGTACCGCCGCCGCCCCCGCCGCCCCCGCCCGCCACCCGATACGCTTGTGGCCCGGGCCCTGGCACCGCCGCGGGGCGGGCATGCGGCATGTCGGAGCGTCGACGACGCGTACGTCAGGTTTGTGCGGCGGGGGCGGAGGGGGCGGCTGTTTGGGGTAAACAAACCCCTTACGCGTACACTTACTACTTCGGAGTGTGTCGTGTGTCGTCGTGAAGAAAGTACCTCCTCTCTGCCGTGAGAAGCACACCACCACATGTGTGAGTGAACGACCCCTCCCTTATGGTAATTGGATTATTCATGCCGATTGGCGCATACGTACGCCGGTGGGGCATATCGCTCGAGCGCGTCCCCCCTCCCCGTCGCGACTTTCTCCCGGTCGCACTCCCCCATTGAGGTGCCATTATAGAACGTATGTCCACTGGCGCACTGCCAGGCGGACCATAGACCATGGTGCGTAATGATTCCTCTGAGTGTGTCTATGTCTGTGGGGAAAGGGGGGGGGGCGAACGTGTTGTGTGTGATTTCAGAGATCGTCTATCTAAAGAGCTTCCCTCCCTCTCGCGAAGCAAAACTTTCGCAATTCCGAATCACACTTTTCCTACCTTGACGATATGTTTTTTGGTCTTGGGAGTGGAAGGAGAGGGTGCTCTTGCCGCGTCGCCGTTATCGTCCAGCTGCTCCAGCTTCTGCTCGGCCCTTTTGCGGTGCACTGACGCGGACTCTCACACACACAGGCGCATACCGTAGGGTAGAGGGAGAGAGTGGTTGTCACCCGGCTCTACAGGGGCCATAGACGCCCCACGGTTCGCCAAAGTAACTTACTCAACTCTGTAAAGAGACGCTCAAGTGGCGAGGAGGCCGGAGCCCCCCGGGTGGCTGCTGTGGGTGCATCCTGAGAAATGTTTTTATACCGGGCCGTCCCATTGTGCTTGCTCGCCCGGCCCGCCCCGGGTCTCTGCACCCAGGTGACACACTCTCTGTCTCCTGCTCTCTTGTCGTGTGTGAGCTTTTTTCCCCTCCTCTTTTCGTTGAGCGTTATTTTAAAGGAGAGGGCAAACCTTTTATCACGTTTCAAGGTGGTTGGTGGGTGCCGTAGGATGTTGGTATGGTGCTGTGGGGCCCAATCGTTTTATATTGTTGCATGTTTATTATAACATAAATCTTGGCGAGCGCGCTGTGCTTTCTGTGAGGAGGGGGTCTTTTTGTCGCCGGCGAAGGAGGTCGATCGGCCGGCGCGCGGCTGAGATGCAGCAGGGAGGGAGGCAGCGGTTGCCCCCGCGACCTCCGCGCTCCTCCCGCCCGCCGACTGGGCCGGGCGGGCAGCTCATCCGTCAGCCGGTTGCATTTGCTAATGATCTAATTAATTTGACTCGCTGCTGGGGCAGAGCGAGCGAGCGTCGTCATGTGGCGGCGATGCGCCCGGCGCGTGGGAGGGAGAGAGACGGCCAGGACGGCGACGTCTGCGTACACGACGACGACGGGGATAGAAAAACTCGCGGTTTAGACCTTTCTCCCCACCGCGCCGCTCCCCTCGGGGGAAGGAAGGCGCCGGGGCCTCGACGGGGTCATTTAACCTCGACAGTGGCGTCGTTGTTGGGTGTCGTCGGGCCGACGGCGTCGGGGTGGCGGGCGTCGCGGCGCTGCGTTAGGCCCTAGCGGAGCGTGGCTGTGGGCGCTGAGGTTTGGGTGAATGGCCAGCAGGGCGTCGCATGCGATCTGGTTCCCCTCTCACTTTCGCCCGCTCGCCCGTCACGCTCACACGCTTCAATTGATCCGATTTGGGAAGGTGACCGTCCCGGCTCGGCCCGCTGCGGCCGCGGACTGGCTCGCCGGCGGGAATGAGATTTTGACGTAAGAGCTGATGACTTATTGAGTCCCACGGTCGCGCCTCGCCGGCCTTGGACACGTTGCGGTTCCATCATCCGACGGAATCAGGGCGGCCCGTGGCAAGCGCGGCGTCTAGCAGCGGAACACGTTATTGGGACATTGCTTTTCCAGAACCTTAATTTGAACAGCGGGGTTGTAGGTGTGAATTTTTATTTTTAAAAAATTCGTCAGTTTCTTTTATTTATGTGGGGATTTACCGGTACTGGGGCACCGTAGGGCACACCGCAGGAGGACGAACGTTCCGACGCACTTCCTGCCTGTTTCTTCCCCTCCCCCGCTTGGCGCCAGGCGCCACACTCTCCCCCCCCCCTTCTTTTCCCAACCCCTTCCCCTCCTGATCCTAATCCCGCGCTCTGCCTAATCGCGCGCCAATTACAAACGCAGGTGGTGTCCGATTTCGGCCGAGATGGCGATCGGGCAGGCGATGACGATCTATCTCTCCTCTGTCGCTAA